GCATAGAGTGGAATGTCATAACTTATCATACAATAGTCTCCTTCCGCTATTGGCGTTGTTAGGGGCTACTTCACCTTTCGTTATAAGGTTCCTCCTTGGAGGTTTTTACACATTGTATGGGTTCTACTTCAATTCATGTCCTCCTCCATTCCAATGTGGGCAATCTGCATAGAGTGGAATGCCATAACTTATAATACAATAGTCTCCTTCCAATATTGGCGCTGTTAGGGGCTATTTCACCTTTCGTTATAAGGTTCCTCCTTGGAGGTTTTTACACATTGTATGGATTCTGCTTCGATTCATGTCCTCCTCCATTCCAATGTGGGCCATCTCCACAGAGTGAGTGGAATAAGTGTGTGAAATAGCCCACTATGTGAGCTGTTAGGGGCTTTTGCACTTTTAATTATAAGGTTCCTCCTTGGAGGTTTTTACATATTGTATTCATTTTGCTACAGATCAGAGTAGTTTGTCCCAGAAATTAAGGAAAAGGGCTGTTAAGATCACACCTCTTTAGGAGTGTTGAGGTGCTCCAGCCCTTGTTTGATCGTATGGCATTAAACGGCGTCCTTTTCAGATCGGTGGAGTGCCGAACATTCACAGAAACCTCCTGAAAGTGGCCATTGGGGTCATTGAGGAGTCCAGGCTGCTGCGCCTCCAGTCCTTCAACGAATACCGGAAGCGGTTCAACTTGAAGCCCTACACGTCCTTCCAAGAGCTGACAGGTAACACGGGGACACTTATATCACCTGGGATGCGGTGTTTCATGAACATAAGAAGAAGATGGGAACATTTACAAGGAGTGGGGGTTCCATACAGGTGTCTAGAGTGGTCAGAGAGACCTTTGTAGGATCATAATGTAAACAAAGGTAGATGCGTCCCATTGAGATCTCTGGAGGCCATCTAGTCCTTGCAGTCTTTGTTTGGGACATCAAGGTAAGTCCTATTACAATCTGTGAAGGACTTCCAATCTCGTCATCATCATCAACATTTCCAACTCTTTGTATTCTCATCTCTATAGACATCCCCATCATTATTTATATTTATGGTCTCTTCTTGCCTTTGGGGCGCTGTATTTGGCCAAATAATTTTGTGTTCAGCATGGTCTTGTGAGGCAGACCAGGCTGATAAGATATCATCATCATCATCATCATCATCATCATCATCATCATCATCATCATCATCATCATCATCTGTATGGTCATTATTATTTCCCAGCCTTTGTGTTCTCATCTCTGTAGCTGTCATCCTCATTATTTACATTTTTGTCCCTTCTTCAACCTTGTGAGGCATTTCAAGGAGATATTATTATCCAATCCCTCTGGCCTTCATTTAGGACACAAGTCTCATTGGGATCTATGGAGGCCACACAATCCTTCTGGCCTTTGTTTAAGGCATATAGATAAGTCCTATAGGGATTTACGGAAGCCACTTAATCCATCTGGCCTTCGATTAGGATATAACTCATTGGGATCTATGTAGGCCACCCAATCATTTTGGCCTTTTTTTAGGACACAGCCCCATTGGGATCTATGGAGGCCATCCAATCCTTCTGGCCTTCCTTTAGGATACATAGATAAGTCCTATTGGGATCTAAGGAGGCAACCCAATCCTTCTAGTTTTCCTTTAGGACATATAGACAAGTCCTATTTGTATCTACGGAGGCCATCCAATCCTTCTGGCCTTCCTTTAGGATACATAGATAAGTCCTATTGGGATCTAAGGAGGCCACCCAATCCTTCTGGACTTCCTTTAGGACATATGGACAAGTCCTATTGGGATCTAAGGAGGCCACCCAATCCTTCTGGATTTCCTTTAGGACATATGGACAAGTCCTATTGGGATCTGCAGAAGCCACCCAATCCTTCTGGCCTTTCTTTAGGACATAAGTCCCATTGGGATCTATGGAGGCCACCCAATCCTGTGGGCTTTCCTTTAGGACATGTAGATAAGTCCTACTGGGCTCTATGGAGGCCACCCAATCCTTCTGGCCTTTCTTTAGGACACAAGTCACATTGGGATCGATGGGGGCTACCCAGTCCTTCTGGCCTTCCTTTAGGTATACAGATAAGTCCTAATGGGATCTATGGAGGTCACCCAATCCTTCTGGCTTTTCTTTAGGACTTCAGTCCCATTGGGATCTATGGAGGCCGTCCAAACCTTCTGGCCTTCCTTTAGAATATATAGATACGTCCTATTGGGTTCTATGGGGGCCACTCAATCCTTCTGGCTTTCCTTTAGGACTTAAGTCCCATTGGCATCTAAGGAGGCCACCCAATCCTTCTGGACTTCCTTTAGGACATATGGATAAGTCCTATTGGGATCTATGGAGGCCACCTAATCCACACAGCCTTCATTTAGGACTGAAGTCCCATTGGGATCTATGGAGGTCTTATGTCCTAAAGGAAGGCCAGAAGGATTGGCCTTCCTTTAGGACATAAGACCTCAATTTTTTAAAAAGTGGGGGATCTCTGTCCCTTCCGTTCTCAGGGGATGAGGCGACAGCGTTGGTGTTGGAGGAGCTGTATGGCGACATCGACGCGGTGGAGTTCTACCCGGGGATGCTGGTGGAGAAGACGCCTCCACGGGCCATCTTTGGGGAGAGCATGGTGGAGATAGGGGCCCCCTTCTCCCTGAAGGGCCTGCTGGGGAACCCCATCTGCTCCCCCGAATACTGGAAGCCCAGTACCTTCGGTGGGGAGACCGGCTTCCAGCTGGTGAAGACGACCACGCTCCGAAGCCTGGTCTGCCGCAACCTCAAGGCAACAGCCAAGGAGGGGACGGCAGAGGAGGAGGAGTGTCCCTACGTGGCCTTCTGGGTCCCCGATACGGCCCTCGAGGTGGAGAGCCCCGAGAGGAAGGAGCTGTAGGTAGGGTGGCCCTTCCTCCCATGAAGGAAGGGAGAGAGACACACACATCCACGAATGCAGCATCTCCCCCATGAGACCTTGGGGAACGCTTCCTTTTGGGACTACAACCCCCAGCGTCCCCTGAGCTGGGTCAGGAAGGACACTGCAGGTGGAACTGTGATCAGCAGGAGTTGGCTTTTCTAATAAAGGAGGTGGTTTTTTGTTCATTTGCGAATGCTTGGTTTTCTTTGGAAAAGGGAGGGGAGGCAGCCCTTTCCCAAACAAAGGCTCAAAGGAATTCTCGAAGCATCCGTAAATTGGGCCCTTTGAGGTAGGCCTTCGACATGGACATCGATCTTGGTGCATGTAGGAAGGTTAGCATGTTGGTTTGCATGGTGCAAAGGCCCCTCTCAATCAATATTGATGAACATAGTTAGGTTAGCATGTTGGTCTGCATACTGCAAAGGCATCTCTCCATCACTATTGATGCATGTAGAAAGGTTTGCTTGTTGGTTCACATGCACAAAGGCCCCTATTAGTACTGATACACATAGGAAGGTCAGCATGTTGGTTTGCATGGTGCAAAGACTCCTTTCTGTCAATTTTGATGCATGTAGAAAAGTTAGAATGTTGGTTTGCATGCTGCAAAAGCCTCCTATCAACACTGATGCACATAGGTAGGTTAGTATGCTGGTTTGCATGCTGGAAAGCCCCCTCTATCAACATTGATGCACATAGGGAGGTCAGTATGTTGGTTCACGTACACAAAAGCACTTCCCTATCAACACTGATACACATAGGAAGGTTAGCATGTTGGTTCATGTACACAAAGATCCCTATTAGTATTGATGCACATAGGAAGGTTAGCATGTTGGTTTGTATGCTGCCAAAGCCCCCTCTATCAACATTGATGCACATAATTAGGTTAGTATGTTGGTTCACGTACACAAAGGTCCCTATTAATATTGATGCAGATAGGAAGGTTAGCATGTTGGTTTGCATGCTGCAAAGACCTCTCTCTATCAATTCTGATGCATGTAGAAAGGTTAGCATGTTGGTTTGCATGCTGCAAAAGCCCCTCTCTGTCAATATTGATGCACATAGGTAGGTTAGTATGTTGGTTCACATACACAAAGGTCCCTATTAGTACTGATGCACATAGGAAGGTTAACATGTCGGTTTGTATGCTGCCAAAGCCCCCTCTATCAACACTGATGCACATAGGTAGGTTAGTATGTTGGTTCACGTACACAAAAGCCCCTATTAGTATTGATGCACACTGGAAGGTTAACATGTTGGTTTGCATGCTGCAAAAGCCCTTCTCTGTCAATTTTGATGCATGTAGAAAGGTTTGCATGTTGGTTTGCATGCTGCAAAAGCCACTTTCTGTCAATATTGATGCATGTTGGTTTGCATGCTGCAAAAGCCCCTCTCTGTCAATACTGATGCACATAGGTAGGTTAGTATGTTGGTTCACGTACACAAAGATCCCTATTAGTATTGATGCAGATAGGAAGGTTAACATGTTGGTTTGCATGCTGCAAAAACCCCTCTCTATCAATATTGATGCACATAGGTAGGTTAGTATGTTGGTTCACGTACACAAAGGTCCCTATTAGTACTGATGCACATAGGAAGGTTAACATGTTGGTTTGCATGCTGCAAAGACCCCTCTCTATCAATATTGATGCACATAGGTAGGTTAGTATGTTGGTTCACATACACAAAGGTCCCTATTAGTACTGATGCATGTAAGAAGGTTAACATGTTGGTTTGCATGCTGCAAAGACTCCTGCCAATTTTGATGCATGTAGAAAAGTTAGCATGTTGGTTTGTGTGCTGCCAAGATCCCTCTCTGTCAATATTGATGCATGTTGATTCATGTGCACAGAGGCCCCTCTCTATCAACATTGATGCACACAGAAAGGTCAGCATATTGGTTCACATACACATAACCCCCTCTCTATTAATACTGATGCATGTATGAAGGTTGGTATGTTGGTTCATGTACACAAAGGCACCTCTCTATCAATATTGATGCACATAGGAAGGTTTGTATGTTGCTTCATGTGCCACAAAGGCCCCCTCTCTTTTGCCTCTATACCAATGGCTATGCATGTATGAATGTATGTATATTGGTTGGTCCCACAAAGTCCTCTCTCTTTGTGGGACAAAGCAACAGACATAAACAAATACATACATACATAATCTCCTTTCATTTCTGGAGGTTTTGAAGCAGGGGCTGGATGGCTATCTCTTGGGAGCGCTTTGATTGTGCCTTCCTTTGTGGCAGAAAGGAGGCCAGACTGGATGGCCCTTGGAGGCCTCTTCCAACCCTAGGGATGTATTGCTACATCTATAAAGAAGGGACCAAATTTCCTTGCTGCTGCGAAGATGACAAAAGGCATTTAAAGAAAATCACCGGGTGGGTTGTTACGTTTTATTGCAACTATTTACAAAAATGCTAGGAATCGTTTTCACATCGAGGGTTGAGGAAAAGATTTGCTCCCAAGGTTCCCAGGAAACAGCGAACACAAACACACAAAAGAACGGCCCACTTTGAGGACATTTTACAAAGCAAGTATTGGGACTGAAGGCCTTTTGGAGCCTGGAGCGGAGGTTTCAAGATAGGATTGGGGACCAAAAAGGGAGGACGAAGAAGACACCCCAAAAGTTTGCGGGAAAAGTCCAAAGGGTCCGTGCCTAAGGGGAAGCAAGGACTACAAAACAGCAAAAAGGCCCACTTTGAGGCTGCATTTTGGGGCGACTCCCAACTCGATTGCAAAGGGGAAAAAAGAGCGTTGTTTTGGTCGGGGAATTAAAGCAATTTGACACCACGCTTGACCATTAGGCCTCGATGATATGGAATGATGGGAGTAGAGGCACCCAGAGGCTGAAGCTGAGCCTCTGAAGATTCCAAGTGGTGTCAAAGTGCATCAACTCTGCAGTGGAGATGCGCCCAAAGAAGACGAGCGCTTCCAGGCTCTGCTCCCAATTTGCAATCGATCACAACAAGGGCCTAGTTTCCTACAAACTCTAGCAAAAGGCCTACTACGAGGCTGATATTTCGGGGCAACTGACCCACAGCTTGGAAAGATGTATTGGGGAGGGGGGTGGCTTTCCTAAGACGTCTTTCACACTATACTTGGACACTACCTTGGAATGTTGGGACGTGGAGTTTGCAATGCTCCTGGGACACGTTGTTTGCAATGCTCATCGAACCGCGAACACCAAAGCGGTGCGATGCTTGCGTGGTGCGGAAGAGGCCGGACTCAGTCGATCTCCAGGTCGCTGCTGTCATCATCCTCATCACCGTCACCGCCTAAGATGGCCACCTCCTTCTCGGGCAGCAATCCGCACTCCTGCAGGAACGCCTCCAGGTCGCTGGCAAAGAAGTCCAGGCCCAGCTGGTCGGTGATGCGGACAAAGTTGCCCACCAGCTCGCCCCCCTTGTAGACCAGCAGGGCCGGGAGGGCGGCGGCGGCAAAGCGGGGGCTGGCCCCCACCAGGGCGCTGCGCCCGCGGCAGAATTTGGCCCATGGGTACTGCGCCGCCAGGCAAGCCATGCAGCCGTCCAGCGCCTCCGCCCCCGGCACCCCCTCCTCGTAGAGGTGGACCAGCACCAGCGCGCCCCGCGGGCCCCCGTCCACCGCCTCTAGAAAGGCCTCCCCACTCTGCAGCTCAAAGACACGCCGGAACTGCTGCGGGGCACCTGCGCCAACACCGTACAGCTGGCGCCGCATCTCCTCCATGCGCTGCTGGCGGTACTGCTGCAGGAACGCCTCATCATCCTCCTCCTCCGCTTCCTCCTCCTCACAACGCTCTCGGAGCAGGCCGCACTTCTGCAGCGTCAGCTGGGGAAGAAGGCACAATAATAACAATAATAATACTTTATTTATACCCTGCCCGCTCTGCACGAAGGGACTCAAGTGGCTTACAACACAACAAAACAAATACGATAAATGAAATACAAAAATAAAATCACATATCAGTTAATAAAAAACCCAAAATAACAGAATAATATATAACAGGATAAATACGGAGAATCAAAGTGTCTCACCATCAAAAAGAATACAACTTAAAATATACAAATATGCAAAAATAAAATATTATATCATTGTATATTATCAGTAGTAATTACTGTATATACTCGAGTATAAACCTAGTTTTTCAGCCCTTTTTTTAGGCTGAAAAAGTCCCCCTTGGCTTATACTCGAGTCAAGGTTATTTATTATTTTACTCTGTTGTTATTATTATTATTATTATTATTTTCATTTCATTTATTATTGTATTATTATTATTAAACTTTATTTGTACCCCGCTAGCATCTCCTGAAGGACTCGATGTGGCTTACAAAGGCCAAGGCCTCAACATAACAACAACAGGCAATAACAATATAATACAAGCAAATTAGAAACATAAGCAATAACAACAACAAAACATTACACTATTACGCAATAAAACCAGGGCCGGGCCAATGAAGAGTACAGGTTAAAAAGTGCTGGGTGTAAGTGGTGATATGTTGGGATTCTGGGCAAGTGCGATGTGCAGAGAGTCTTAAGCTCTAATAAAGTGCTTCTGGGACATGGTGCTGGGGGGTTATCGTGTTCTGGGAAGGCACATCTGAATAGCCAGGTCTTCCAAGTTCTTCCTAAAGACTGCCAATGTGGGTGCTAGTCTAATGTCTTTGGGGAGGGTGTTCCAGAGTCGGGGGGCAACCACAGAGAAGGCCCTGTCCCTCGTCCCCACCAAACGAGCCTGCGACGCAGGTGGAATTGTGAACAGGGCCTCTCCGGATGAACGGAGGGAGCGCGTGGGTTCATACACGGAGATGCAGGTAGGCAGGTAGGCAGGTCCCAAACCGTTTAGGGCTTTGTAGGTATTTTATTCTATTTATTATTATTACATTTATCATTTTACTCTATTATTATACATTTAGTATTTTACTGTATAATTGTTATTATTGCTACATTCATTATTTTACTCTTTTTATTATTGTTATTATTACATTTGTTATGTTGCTCTCTTTATTATTATTGGAAGGATACGTAAGCACATTTACATTGAAGAAGGTAAATAATCTTTTAATCAGAGTTGGACCGTCTTATCTTAAATTACCATTTTTGTAAATATTCAAAAATATATAACCTACTGATTCCTCAATTAATGTAATTTGATTGGTATGTTTTTATTTTGTAATTTACCAGTAGCGGCTGCATTTCCCACCCTCGGCTTATACTCGAGTCAATCCGTTTTCTTAGTTTTTTTGTGGTAAAATTAGGTGCCTTGGCTTATATTCGGGTCGGCTTATACTCGAGTATATACGGTATATTTAATATATTAGTATTTTTATAGTGCAGCCCCCGGTGGTGCAGCGGGTATTATATTATTATTATTATTATTATTATTATTATTATTATTATTATTATTATTATTAATATAATTTTAGTATTATTATATTAGTATTATTATATTGCAGTCGCCTTCGGGGTGAAATGGGCGGGATAAAAATGACGCAAATAAGAAATAAATAAAACCGCTGAGCTGTGGAACTTGCTGACCGAAAGGTCAGTGGTTTGAATCAGGGGAGCGGGGGGGGGGGAGCTCCTGCTGTTAGCCCCAGCTTCTGTCAACCTAGCAATTCAAAAACATGCAAATGTGAGTATTTATTTATTTACTTTATTTGTATACCGCTCTTCTCAGCCCTTAGGCGACTCAGAGCGGTTTACAACAATTTAGGTATACACAATACAAAATCATTAAGCATTTAAAAGCAATAGCATCACAAGTCATTAAACGTCAGCATCAATACATCAATATAACAAATCCATCAGGTCTAATCAATAGGTAGAGTAGATCAATAGGTAATGCTCCAGCGGAAGAGCAATGGCGCCTCATGCAGTCATGCTGGCCACATGACCTTGGAGGTGTCCATGGACAATACCGGCTCTTCAGCTTAAGAAATGGAAATGAGCATCACCCCCCAGAGTCAGACTCAAGTAGACTTAATGTCAAGGGGTCACACTGGTGGCTGTCCTATGGGGCCGTGCGTGTGCATCTACCTTGCTGCCGAGCTCCTCCCGCAGCTCGGCCTGCCTCCGCTGGTCCTCCTCCTCGTCCAGGTGGGAGCGGCAGCTGAGGGAGAGGCGCTGCACGAGCCGCTTCATCTCCCGGGCTTGGTCCTCCCGCCGCTCCGTCTCCAGCTGCTTGAAGCGCCGCCAATCCTGGATCACCCCTTTCGGGCCTGAGAGGGGCAAGGAGAAGGGAGGCCAAGTCAGCCCTAGACAGATATACACCCCTACTAGACAGATAAGAGATGACACAACAGAGTGGGGGTGAGCAGAGGAGCCTTTTGCACACCTGTGTTGACGGCGCTGCCGTCGCTGCTCACTGCCATCTCCGGGCGAAGGGCGGAGCGGGGCCCTTCCTCCTCCTTGTCCTCCTTCTCGCTGTCCTCGTCCTCATCGTCCTCCTCGCTGCTGCTGTAATAATACTGGAGCTTCTCCCCCAGGAGCTTGTCGTCGAGTGTCGTCATGGCCAAAGCTGCAGCGAGAAAGACAACGCAAGGAGAAGTATAGAAGTATATATAGGCCATCCCCGAGAAAGAAAGGAATGGAAAAAAGGCAGAGAAGAAAGAAGGGATGAAGGGAGTGAAGTGGAAGGATGGAAGGAGAAAAAGAAATGAATGGAATGGAGAGGGAACAAAGGGGGGAAGAAACAGGAGTGAAGGAAAGAGAGAAAGAAAGAAAGAAAGAAAGAAAGAAAGAAAGAAAGAAAGGGGGGAAAGCAGAGAAGAAGGAAGAGGAAGGAAGGAAGGAGAAAAAGGAAAGAATGGAAAGGAGAAGGAAAGAAGGGGGAAGAAACAGGAGGGAGGGAGGGAAGGAGAGAAAGAAAGAAAGAAAGAAAGAAGGGAAAGCAAAGAAGAAAGAAGGGATGAAGGAAGAGGAAGGAAGGAAGAAGAAAAAGGAAAGAATGGAAAGGAGAGGGAATGCAGGGGGGAAAAAACAGGAGGGAAGGAAGGAGAGAAAGGAAGAAAGGAAGAAAGAAAGAAAGAAAGAAAGAAAGAAAGAGAGAGAAGGCAGAGAAGAAAGAAGGGAGTGAAGAGGAAGGAGAAAAAGAAAACAATGGAAAGGAGGAGGAAGGGGGGAAGAGTGAAGGGAAGCCGGGGGCCAGTTCCATCTTGTTTCCTGCATATGTCATCAGCTGGGGAGCCCTCCCCCCAACACTAACTGCTGCTCTGGGCCAGAGTGAAGAGAGAGGGGGCCAGGGGACAGTTACACCTTGTCTCCTGTGCTATGTTAATAATATAATGTAATACAATACAATACACTATAATATATTGCATATACATATAATATTTATAATTTTATAGCGTAATGCAATATAATACTAATAATAAATTATAATTGCATATTTATATTACATGTAATATTAGTAATAATATTACAATAGAATGGGATAGTACAATATAGAAATATTTAATACTGATATTGTACTATGCTAATAATATAATATACTGTATGCATATATATCTTGTAAGCTGCTCTGAGTCCCCTCCGGGGGGGACTCAGAGCAGCTTACAATGCATAAATAAATCAATCAATGCATAAATAAATCAATCAATAAGAAGGGAAGAGAAAGAAAGGAAGAAAGAAAAAGGCAGAGAAGAAAGATGGGATGAAGGGAGTGAGAAGGAAGGATGGAAGGAGGAAGAGAAAACAATGGAAAGGAGGAAGAAGGAAGGGGGAATTTTATTTATTTATCGTGTCATCAGCAACCATACCATTCTGTTACAATTCTAACAGAACAAAACAAACACACAGATTAAAAAGAAAAAAAAACACACAGAGATTTTGCAAACTTGGTAGCTGATTAAATGTCCTTTGACCAGTCTCTGGCCACTTGGAGTGCCTCTGGTGTTGCCGCAAGAAGGTCCTCCCTGGTGCATCATGTGGCAGGGCTCAGGTTGCATTGCAGCAGGTGGTCAGTGGTTTGCTCTTCTCCCCACTCTCATGCCGAAGATTCCACTTTGCAGCCCCATTTCTGAAGGTTGGCTCTGCATCTCGTGGGGCCAGAGCGCAGTCTGTTCAGCGCCTTCCAAGTTCCCCAGTCCTCTGTGTGCCCAACGGGGAGTCTCTCATCTGGTATCACCCATGGATTGAGGTGCTGGGTTTGGGCCAGCCACTTTTGGACTCTTGCTTGCTGGGGTGTTCCAGTGAGTGTCTTTGTAGATCTTCAAAAACTATTTCTGATTTAAGTCGTTGACGTGCTGGCTGATACCCAAACAGGGGATGAGCTGGAGATGTCTCTGCCTTGGTCCTTTCACTATTGGCTGCTCCTTCCCGGCGGATGTCAGGTGGTGTGATACTGGCTAAGCAGTGTAATTTCTCCAGTGGTGTAGGGTGCAGACACCCCGTGATAATGCGGCATGTCTCATTAAGAGCCACATCCACTGTTTGAGCGTGGTGAGATGTGTTCCACACTGGGCATGCGTACTCAGCAGCAGAGTAGCATAGCGCAAGGGCAGATGACTTCACTGTGTCTGGTTGTGATCCTCAGGTTGTGCCAGTCAGCTTTCGTATGATAATGTTTCTGGCACCCACTTTTTGCTTGATGTTCAGGCAGTGCTTCTTGTAGGTCAGAGCACGGTCCAGAGTGACTTCCAGGTATTTGGGTGCGCTGCAATGCTCCAGTGGGATTCCTTCCCAGGTGATCTTCAGAGCTCGGGATGCTTCTCTGTTCTTGAGGTGAAAGGCACATGTCTGTGTTTTAGATGGATTAGAGATCAGCTGGTTTTCCCTGTAATAGGCAGTGAGAGCACCTAGAGCTTCGGAGATCTTCTGTTCTACCATCTCAAAGCTCCCTGCTTGAGCAGTAATGGCACGATCATCAGCATAGATGAAACTCTCTGTCCCTTCTGGCAGTGGCTGGTCATTTGTGTCGATGTTGAACATGGATGGAGCAAGCACGCTCCCCTGAGGCAGGCCGCTGCTTCTGTGTTTTCCCTGTAAGAGGCAGTAAGAGCACCTAGAGCTTCGGAGAGCTTCTGTTCTACCATCTCAAAGCTCCCTGCTTGAGCGGTGATGGCACGATCATCAGCATAGATGATAATTAATTATTAATAATAATAATAATAATAATAATAAGGAATCAATGGGAAGGAGAAGGAAGGAAGGGGTGTGTGTGGGAGAAGCAGGAAGGAAGGGAAGAAAGCAAGGGAGAGAAGGGCAAGGAAGGGGCCAGAGCGAAGGGAAGGTAAACAGCCTTCCCTAGATTGAGGCCTAGTGCCAAATTGGGGGGTTGGAAGCCTGAATCCGGGTGGATGTGAGGCCCAGAGACGGAAGGGGGAAATTCTGTGGTAAAATGGAACTGGATTAAATATTAACAGCATTAACACCCGTTACAGCCTCCGTTACACAGCTTTTCCAACAACAACAACAACAACAATCCCCTCACCTTCTGAGGCCTGCCTCTCCCTGTCACTGTCTCTGCCGGCCGGAAACCGGAAGCGCAAAGGATGCCGGGGGAAAAAAAAGAGTAGGAGACCCAAGAGGTAAGGCAACCCCAGCAGGCCACGCATTCGACACTTCCGGTTCCCATTCGAAACATGCTCACGCCTCCACACAACAGGCTTTGAGGCATTTTTTTTGTTAAAAAAAATGAGAGTGTTAAATTTTATTTATGTATTTATTTCGGTTACTTCTACCCCGCCCTTCTCACCCCGAAGGGGACTCAGGGCGGCTTACAAAAGGCACAATTCGATGCCAGCATCACAGAACAGTAGTAACACAAAATAACATCAATTAAACAGTTGAACAGTTAAACAACAATTCCTGCATTACAACCCTAAAACCAATAAACAATACAATCCCAATTACTCCTCATAGACGGTCAGCGTTCGCTATCTCATAGTCCAATTTCCAATTCCACATTGTCAGTCCTGTCAGTCCTAGTCGTTTGATTGTCCTTATCTAGTTGTCAGATTGCCCAAAGGCCTGGTCCCACAACCACGTCTTTACTTTCCTCCTGAAGGAGAGGAGGGATGTTGATGCCCTAATTTATTTATTTATTTATTTATTTATTTACTTCATTTGTTAACCGCCGCTCTCAGCCCTGGGGCGACTCGCGGCGGTGTACAACATATTAAAAACAGTCTACAAAACATACAATATCAAACAACCAAATTACACATTAATCTAAATCACACTAATAAATCCGCGCCATCACAACTTGAAAACATAGCCAATCTCATAATCCATAGTCCGTTCCAAATGTCATTACCAGATTCGTGTGGCTCTCAATTAAATGCCTTCTCGAATAGCCAGGTCTTTAGGCTCTTACGAAAAGCCATCAGGGAAGGCGCCTGTCTGATGTTAACAGGGAGGGCGTTCCACAGCCGGGGGGCCACCACTGAGAAGGCCCTCTCTCTCGTCCCCGCCAGACGTGCCTGTGAGGCGGGCGGGATCGAGAGAAGGGCCTCCCCAGATGATCTCAAGGCCCTCGTGGGCTCATAGGCCGAGATGCGGTCCGAAAGGTATTTTGGGCCGGAACCGTTTAGGGCTTTGTAGGATAACACCAGCACTTTGAATTGGGCCCGGTAGCAGATCGGCAGCCAGTGGAGCTGGGACAACAAGGGCGTTGTGTGCTCCCTGCGTCCCGCTCCCGTTAGTAACATGGCTGCCGCGCGCTGGACTAGCTGAAGCTTCCGGGCCGTCTTCAAGGGCAGCCCCACGTAGAGAGCGTTGCAGTAGTCAAGGCGGGATTTCCCCCGGGAGTGAGTTCCACAGGTGAGGGGCCACCACTGAGAAGGCCCTGCTCCTCGTCCCCACCAACCTCACTTGTGACAGTGGTGGGGTCGAGAGCAGGGCCTCCCCAGATGATCTCAAACTCCAGGGTGGGACATAGAGGGAGATGCGTTTGGACAGATACACTGGACCGGAACCGTACAGGGTTTTGTAGGTCAAAACCAGCACCTTGAATTGAGCTCGGAACTGAACCGGCAGCCAGTGGAGCTGGCACAGCAGGGGGGTGGTATGCTCCCTGTATGACGCTCCGGTGAGTAATCTGGCTGCCGCTCGCTGGACCAATTGAAGTTTCCGAACAGTCTTCAAGGGCAACCCCACGTAGAGTGCGTTGCAGTAGTCTATTCGGGATGTAACAAGAGCGTGGACCACTGTGGCCAGATCAGACTTCCCAAGGTACGGGCGCAACTGGTGCACAAGTTTTAGTTGTGCAAAAGCTCTCCCGGCCACCGCCAAGACCTGGGGTTCCAGGCTCAGCCATGAGTCCAGGATCCCTCCCAAGCTGCGAACCTGAGTCTTCCGGCTTCATTAACATTAAAAGACTCCGACCCCCTCTTTGGAAGGGTGGGAAAGGGGGGCGCTTGTTCCCCCCTCTTCCTCCCTTGAGCATCTCTCGGCCTCGTTTGGGAACCTGAAGTACAGGCGGCATTCGCATCGCTAAACTCTTTGGCTCGGCGGAGTGCGCATGCGCAGAGGAGTATCCACCCAGAGCATCCTTTCTACCCTGCCTTAGTTGACTAGGGAAGGGAAGCCCGCGCATGCGCAGTTACTATGGTTACTCAGACTCAAAGAGATAGGGAAAAAGTGGATTGAGGGAACAGGAAGGAAAGAAAAAGGAAGAAGGGAAAAGGAAAAGAAGGAAAGAAGAAGGAAGGAAAAGGGGGAAAGGTGGACTGAGGAAATAGGAAGGAAAGAAAAAGAAAGAAGGGAAAAGGAAAAGAAGGAAAGGAGGAAGGAAGGAAAAGGGGGAAAAGTGGACTGAGGAAACAGGAAGGAAAAAGAAAGAGGGGAAAAGGAAAAGAAGGAAGGAAAAGGTGGAGTGAGGAAACAGGAAGGAAAAAGAAAGAGGGGAAAAGGGAAGGAAGGGAAGGGGGAAAAGGTGGACTGAGGAAACAGGAAGGAAAAAGAAAGAGGGGAAAGGGAAAAGAAGGAAAGAAGGAAGGAAAAGGTGGACTGAGGAAACAGGAAGGAAAGAAAAAGGAAAAAGACAAAAGGGAAGGAAGAAAAGAAGAAGGAAGGAAAAAGACAAAAGGGAAGAGGAAGAAAAGGGAAAAGGTGGACTGAGGAAACAGGAAGAAAAGAAAGGAAGAAGGAAGGAAAGAAGAAGGCAGAAAAGGGGGAAAGGTGGACTGAGGAAACAGGAAGGAAAAAGACAAAAGAGAAGGAAGAAAAGGGAAAAGGTGGACTGAGGAAACAGGAAGAAAAGAAAGGAAGAAGGAAGGAAAGAAGAAGGCAGAAAAGGGGGAAAGGTGGACTGAGGAAACAGGAAGGAAAAAGACAAAAGAGAAGGAAGAAAAGGGAAAAGGTGGACTGAGGAAACAGGAAGAAAAGAAAGGAAGAAGGAAGGAAGAAAACGAAGGAAAGTGGAAAAGTATGAAAGGAAGGGAAGAAACGAGGAAAAAGGGAAGAGAAACAAAAGAAAAGAGAGGGAGAAGGTGTCTGAGGAAATGGGAAGGAAAGAAAAAGAAAGAAAGGAAAGGAAGGAAAGGAGAAAAGGCGGACTGAGGAAACAGGAAGGAAAGAAAGAAGGAGGGAGAGAAGAAGAAGGAAGAAAAGGAAAGGGGGAAAGTATGGAAGGAAAAGACGGGATGAGAAAGAGGAAGAAAAGAGAGGGAGAAGGTGTATTGAGGAAACAGGAAGGAAAGAAATATAAAGCAGGCAAAGGAAAAGAAAAAGGGAAAAGTAGGAAGGGAGGGATGAAAGGAAAGAGAAAGAAGGGAAAGGAATGAAGGGGAAGGAAGCAAAAAAGGAGGAGGTGTATTGAAGAAACAGGAAGAAAAGAAAGTAGAAAGGAAAAAGAGTAAGGAAACTTGAAAATAAGAAGGAAAGAAAAAAGAAAGAAGGGAAGGGAAAAGAAGGAAGGAAGATAAAAGGGAGAAGGTGTATGAGGAAACAGGAAGGAAAAAGAAAGAAGGCAAAGGAAAAGAAGAGGAGAAGAAGGAAGGGGGAAATGATGGACTGAGGAAACAGGAAGGAAAGAAAGAAGGCGGGAGGGAAGAAAGGAAGAAAAAGAAAGGGAAAAGTATGAAAGGAAGGAAAGAAAAAGAAGGGACAAGAAAGAGGAAGAAAAGAGAGGGAGAAGGTGTATTGAAGAAACAGGAAGGAAAGAAATATAAAGAAGGCCAAGGAAAAGAAGAAAAAGGGAAAAGTAGGAAGGGAGGGATGAAAGAAAAGAGAAACAAGGGAAGAAAAGAAAAAAGAGAGGTGTATGAGGAAACAGGAAGGAAAGAAAAAGAAAGAAGGCAAAAAGGGAAGGAAGAAAAGAAGGAAGGAAAGGGGAAAACGGTGGACTGAGGAAACAGGAAGGAAAGAAAGAAAGAAGACAGGAGGGAAGAAAGGAAGAAAAAGAAAGGGGGAAAGTATGAAAGGAAGGAAAGAAAGAGAAAAAAGGGAGAAAGAAAAGAGAGGGAGCAAGTGTGTGAGGAAATGGGAGGGAAAGAAAAAGAAAGAAGGGAAAAGGAAAGGAAGAAAAGAAGGAAGGAAAAGGGGGAAAAGGTGGACTGAGAAACAGGAAGGAAGGAAAGGAGGAAGAAAAGGAAAGGGGGAAAGTATGGAAGGAAAGGAAAAGAAGGGACGAGAAAGAGGAAGAAAAGAGAGGGAGAAGGTGTGTGAGGAAACAGCAAGGAAAGAAAGCGAAAGAATGCAAAGGAAAAGAAGAAAAAAGGAAGGAAGGAAAGTAGGAAGGGAAGAAGAAAGAGAAAGGGAAGGGAAAGGAAAGGAAGAAAAAAGGGAGAAGGTGTATGAGGAAACAGGAAGGAAAGAAAGCGGAAAAAGGAGGGATGAAGGAAGGGAGGGAAGAAAAAGAAAAGGGAGTGAGGGGAAAAAGGAAGAAAAGAGAGGTGGGGAAAAGATGTATGAGGAATCCAGAAGGAAAGAAAAAGAAGACAAAAGAAAGAAGAATAGAGAAGGGAAAGAAGAAAAAGAAGGGCAGAAGTGATAGGAACATGATTAAGAAAAATAAATTTCCAATTATTACAAGTCCCAGAATCCCTGTCTATAGAGAAAACCTTGCTTGCCAAGGGCTGCTGCTGATAGAGAAAGAATAATGATTCTCTGTGTTCCTTGTTCAGTCAGACACAAGCAGATGCACACCCACACTCCCTCAAATTCTTTCAGCCATGGGTAAGCGAAACTTGCAGATAGATAAGCCACAGCTCAGGGACAGACATTTCAACAGAAATCATTAAATAGGCTTTGAGGTTAGAAACAGAAGAACCAATCAGAAATTGCTTGCGTGTTGTTTTTACCAGTTTGATATAAGAAGTTGTTAAGTGTGCCACAATTGATGGACAGTTCTTTGTTCTTTGACCAGGATGGTCAAAGGCTGTTCATCTCAATGTTGATCAATTTGAAATAAAGCCTTGTTGAGAAACCTCATCGGAATCTCATCTCCTCCCTGCCCTCTGGGCCCGTCACCCTAAATTCCCAGTCTCTAACAGAAGGAAGGAGGCGAAAGAAAGAAAGGAAAATGAGGGAAGGATGGAAAAAAGAGAAAGGAAAGGGGGAAATGTAGGAAGGAAG